GATTTACATGTAGATCTCTCCATGTGGTGTTGGGTTATTGGAGGGGGATGTTCTGTTGGTTTGGGTTTTTTTCCACTCATCCTCAACACATTCAGCCTCTTCCAATACTTGGAAACTCTGCTGATGACAAAGCCCAACCCAAACACAAATTGCAACAACAACAAATCTGATCTAGTGCAGGACTGTTTGTAAAGTCCCAGGACACCCTGGTGGGGTTTTTTTCCATCCAGGCTGTGTTGGCTGAAGAGAGCCACGTTCAGTTCTGGCTGCTGAGCAGCAGATGGAGCTGCCAAACTGCACATCTGGGGCTGCACCCTGCAGCTGGCTCCAGCCACACACAGCCCTTTTGCCACCAGGATGATCCCTATTTCCTCCTGCATCTGGAAATGCATTTCCTGGAATGCTGAGCACAGCTGGGGGTGCTGGAGTTTGGTACGGGAAATTGGACAGGCTTGGGATGTGGAAAAAGGGAGGTATCCACACTCAGGGCTTGTGAGGATGCAGGCAGAGATGGATTTTCCCTCTCTGAGTCCCACCCTGGAGTGGAACATAGAGGAAGGAAGGTTACAAGCACCATCCTTGTTCTCACCCCAACCACACCTACAGCTGATTCTCACCTTCCAACCAAAAACTTCCTTTTTAACAGTTGGACGTGGCTTTATAATCGTGCGGTGATCAGAAATGAGAATTCAAAGAAAAACACAACCTTTACCTAATTTTTTTTAGTGTTTCTTTTACCACGATTGTTAACTAGAAGTGAACAGCTAATAACCTCAGTCCTCCCTTACAGAAATCTGTAAATAAAATGACTGTTGATCCCTGCCTGACCTCGTGCCCGCTGTTACCAGGACAAGGTGCAGCTTCTTCCCCCTGGGCCAGTGTTTCATGTGTTGCAGCCTCTGGTTTGAGCACTGGGATGACACGTGGCAAAAGGAGTTATCAAGAGAAAACAGACAATAAATTGATGGTGGATGGGTCACAGAAGACATGAAAATCATTATTTCAGTGTGTTTCTTCCAGCTGAAGCAGAGCTGGGGAAGTTTGTGGGAGCCACAAGCGCTTCAGAGTTGACTAAAATACCCCGGGTCATTTTTCATAATCTATATTTGCTACCTTGATTATTCTTTGATTTAGATTTTGAAAGTGTACCTAGCAACAGCAATGGTGTTTTAAAAGGTCCACAAATGGCTGGAAAGAGAAATGAGGAGTGATCATTGCAGGCTGTCATCTTACTGTGCTTATAATTTAAGCTTTGTGAAACGTTTGTCTTACATTAACATTTAATTATAACCACATGTACAACTTGACATCATTACCCAGGATTAAGTCCCGTTGCTTGATCTGGTTTATTGTTTAATTCCTTTGGGACCATTTTAAGGAAAAGTCTTTTAGATCAGAGAACTTTCTAAATTCACTAGGAATCCACTATTAATGGTGGCAACTGCAATTTCTTGATTTACAGTTTTTAATTCTTTCTGTAGATTCATAAGAGAGAGATCTATAGGGACAAAATATCATTGCTGTGTCCCAGAGATTGTTTAGGTTGATAGCAAACATTCTGAATTTAGTATTAATCCACTCTTAAAGGTGGCATATGCTATTACTTGGTATTTCTTGAATGCTTTTTTGTGTAGACTCTTAAGAGATCTATAGGGAAAAAAGATAATAAGTGGTCTTGGAGATTGTTTTGGATTAATACTGAGCCTTCTAAATTCACCAGAAATCCATTATTAAAGGTGGCAACTGCTGTTACTTGATTTATTAAATTTTTTTTCTCTAGACACGTAAGAGATCTATAGGAAAAATTATAATAAGTGGGTCTTGGAGATTGTTTTGGTTAATAGTGAGCATTCTAAATTCACTATTAATCCACAATTAACTGCTATTAATTGAAATGTTTTTTGAGTTCTTTCTGTAGACTTTTAAGTGATCTACAGGGACAAAATATCATCAGTGCGCCTTGGAGATTGTTTTGGATTAATAGTGAACTCTTAAAATTTACTGTTAACCCACTATTAAAGGTGGCAAGAGCTACTTTTTAATGCTTTTAAAGTTCTTTCTGTCGACCCATAAGAAATTCATAGGGCCAAAATATAACAAGTGGTTCTTGGAGATTGTTTTGGATTAATTGTGAACGTTCTAAACTCAGCATTAGTCCACTATTAAAGGTGGCAACTGCTATTCCTTGGGTGTTTTTGTTAATTCTTTCTTCTGTAGCCTCACAGGAGATCTATAGGACAAAATATAAGAAGTGGGTCTTGGAGATTATTTTGGATTAATAGTGAACTTTTAAAATTTACTGTTAACCCACTATGAAAGGTGGCAACTGCTATTTCTTGATTTTATTTTTTTTTATTTTTTAAAAATTATTTCTGTAGACTAGTAAGTGATCTATGGGGATGAAATATAATCAGTGGGTCTCAGAGATTGTTTTGGATTAATCATGAATGTTCTAAATTGTTAAAGGTGGCAACTGCTTGGGTTTGTTTTGTTTTAAAATTCTTTTCTCTGTAGACTCAGAGGAGATCTATAGGACCAAATATAACAAGTGGGTCTTGGAGATTGTTTTGGTTAATAGTGAACACCCTAAATCCACTGTTAATGGTGCTGACTGCTTGTTTCTTTTTAATTCTATCTTTAGGCTTGTAAGAGAAATATCATCAGTGGGTCTCAGAGATTGTTTTGGCTAATAGAGAACATTCTAAATTTACTATTAAATTCAATAATTCAGTATTAATCCGCTATGAAAGGTGGCAACTGCTATTCCTTGGGTTTGTTTTGTTTTAAAATTCTTTTCTCTGTAGATTCAAAGGAGGTCTATAAGATAAAATATAGCACGTGGGTCTTGGAGATTGTTTTGGTTAATAGTGAACACTCTAAATCCACTGTTAATGGTGGTGACTGCTATTCCTTGATTATTGTTTCTTTTTAATTCCATCTTTAGGCTCGTAAGAGAAATATCATCAGTGGGTCTCAGAGATTGTTTTGGCTAATAGAGAACATTCTAAATTTACTATTAAATTCAACAATTTAATTAAATTTAATAATTAATTAAATTTAAAATTAAATTTAATACTATTAAATTCAATAATTCAGTATTAATCCACTATTAAAGGAGGCAACTGCTATTCCTTGGGTTTGGTTTTTTTTTAAAATTCTTTTCTCTGTAGACTCAGAGGAGGTCTATAGGACAAAATATAACAAGTGGGTCTTGGAGATTGTTTTGGTTAATAGTGAGCACTCTAAATCCACTGTTAATGGTGGCAACTGCTATTCCTTGATTATTTTTTTTTTAAATTCTTCCTGTAGACTCATAGGAGATCTACAGGAAAAACAATAATCGGTGGATCTTAGAGCTTGTCTTGTAGGGATCCTGCTGTGCTTCCATTTGAGTGCAGAGCGATCCCCTAGGGCAGAGCCCAGCCCTCGGTGGCTGTGGGTGTCTGAGGTGTCCCCGTGTCGCGCAGGTGGCTCCGGAGCGCGCTGAGGCTCCGTGTCCCGGCTCCCCGCGCCGTCCCTG